ATTGAGTATTGTCTAATGGGGTTGTGGAGCCACATAGAACCTACTACTACTATAAATTCACAGTTAGCAAGCCACCATTTACTTTGCCCTTTTCCTACCAATTTCAGCATTGATTTCAATTCTTGTAGGAGGACGCCAAATAGACTGAAAGAAATCTGAATCCTAGACTTGATTGCCAGAAACTTGCTGGGGGACATGAGCAAGTCCCTAATTTCATTGACACGCTTAACTCTTCTGTAAAAATTAGTCTGTTGGCCTGTTCTGGTCCAGGATTTCCTCTCTAGGTCTCTATAAACATTTTTGATACGGTGATAAGAATCAACACTGACTTGGTGTTGCTAGTTGGTGGACTTCATTGTCTAAAGCCTGGTAGTCATTCATCTTTCCAAGATTGTCTTCAGGGGAACTGCAGATAAAGATGGAAGTCTATCAGCGCTTGCATTAGTTCTCTGGGACCTTAAGTCACAGGGCCATTCTGTATCTGTTGTGAAAATTCTGGAAGGAATTGGGCTGGACAATGCCAGTGGGGAAGTTCCTGACCCCTAAGGAAGAGGCAGAATTGGAGAACAGGGCTTCAGTTTCTCTGTAAGGGAGGGTGTACACACACGATTTCTGTAAAGCACAGCTCTTTATTTTCATTTTCATTTTTGGCCTTTGAGGGAAGTTCCCCTAATAAGGTGCCCTGCCTGGCGTCTAGCCTGAAGGGAGGCTCCAGAGTTCAGTCCCGGGGCTCGGAGGTGAGCACACTCCCTTAGACTTTCATTGGTTACTGCCAGTCGAGCCCCTCGTAACCCTGGTAACAGGGCCCGCCCTCAAAGTTTCGGGTCCGCGATTGGTCCGTGGTGTCAAAGACCGAAAGCCAAGTTCCTCAGGTCATTGGCCTGAGTCATTGCGAAGCTGGCGCTGTGGTTGGCGCGCCTAGAGGTCAATCACGCAGGTCAACTGGGGGAAATGGCGACCGAGCCAGGTGGTGGGAGAGTGCTCTCTGGGGGCGTGGAGGTGTGAAGCACTTGGTCGCCACGGCGGCCGTCGCACAGCTCCCGAAGAGTGGGAGGCTGACTTCAGCTCTGCTGGATTCTGAAAGCCGACGTCAGACATCCCCATCTCCCACCTGGGTCAGAGGTGAGAGGTCAAGGCCCGCATTCCCTCTCAGTTCCGGGTTTTTGGACCTTGTGGGAAATCGTCAGAATCTTGGGCCAAAGACTTGGCTTCCATCTACTGACAGTAATGGAGGGCAGATCACTTAAAAACTTTGAACCTCGGTTTCTCATCTGTAAAATGGGGGTGAAAACCCATTTGGGGACCAACCAGAGGTTACTGGGGATTGAGCCTAGGGTCTCGCCCATGCCAGGCAAGTGTTCTACCACTGATTACACCCCCAGCCCTTTTAGGGTTTTGAGACAGGGTCTCACTGAATTGCCCAGGCTGGCCTTGAACTTGTGGTACTCCTGCTTCAACCTTCCAGGTAGCTGGAGTTACAGGTGTTTCCATCGTGCCCAGTTTAGAAGTGTTTGAATAACAAGCCTTGCCTGTGTAGAAGCAGGAGAAACTAAGCACCATAATCCCATTTGATGGTGGAAGGGATTGAGTCTCAAAGGTGATCACTGACTTGCCCCAGCAAGTCTAAGCCACTTACTTTTATATGTACCAGGACCAAAAGAAAGAATGGATGCCAAGTAGTACTTTGCAAATATAAAGGCTATACAAGTATTTAGAATGCTATTAAAATAAATTAAAAAAAAAAAACCCAAGACTATAGGCAGCTTTGGCTTTCACACCTATTTATATTCCCCTGGAACCATGTGTCTTTCTGTGACTAGCTTCTTGTTGAGGTCTCATCTCCAGTGTCATCTTCCTTACCCCCAAAGAAACCTTTCCCAACCACCTTAAAGTGCCCACCTTCCTGGACTCATTCTCCAACCTGTTACTTAGTTTTATGTTGTTTGTAACCCTCATTATCTGATATATCCCTACTTGTTTATTTATAGTGATGACACATAGTACGTTTTCAATCAGTATAACCTAGATGAATAATTGAAGAGCCAAGACCCTACTGTCTCCTTATACCTCTGCTCCTTTCCATAGGCACATCTTTGGAACAAGATCTGGAAACTACAGTTAAGCCTCAAGCCTTGAGTTACCAGAAGCTTGAACCTGCAGAGAAAGTATTTTGACCTGGGCATTTAGACATTTCCCATCTTTCCCATGGCCCTAACAATGCTGAATGGGCTTCTGATTAAGGACTCAAGTCCACCTGTGCTGCTGCACCAGGTTAGCAGGGCTCCCCAGCTAGATAGCTTCAACTACCAGAGCTGTTTCATGCAAGATGTTTTTTCCCATTTCCCTGAGATCTTATTTATCCATCGGACCTATAACCCAAGAGGCAAGGTGTTGTATACCTTCCTGGTGGATGGACCTCGAGTGCAGCTGGAGGGTCCTCTAGCTCGGGCAGTCTACTTTGCCATCCCTGCCAAGGAGGATGCTGAAGGCCTCGCCCAGATGTTGCAGGTGTTCAAGAAGTTTAACCCAGCATGGGAGAGAGTCTGTACCATCCTGGTAGATCCCCACTTCCTCCCCCTGCCCACCCTAGCCATGGAGTTCCCCACAGCTGAGGTCTTGTTCTCAGCCTTTCACATTTGCAAATTCCTCCAGGGCAAGTTCTATCAGCTGTCCCTTGAACAGCCTATGGAGAGGGTGCTCCTGACCTCCCTGCAGAGCACCATGTGCTCAGCCACAGCAGGCAACCTGAGGAGGTTGTATACGCTCCTGAGCAACTGTGTCCCCCCAGCCCGGCTGCCTGAGCTCCACTCACACTGGCTGCTCAACGACCGAATCTGGCTGGCACACCGCTGGAGGAGCCGAGCTGAGAGCAGGCGCTATTTCCAGAGCCTGGAGGTCACCACCCGCATCCTCAGTCAGTTCTTTGGCACCACCCCATCTGAGAAACAAGGCATGGCCTCTCTGTTCCGGTATATGCAGCAAAACCCAGGAGACAAGGCAAGCTTCAACGTGGGCCTGAGTCCCCAGAACAATCATAGCCCCTCAGATGCCAGCCCCGACAGCCCCAAAACAGAGCAATTGGTAGAAGCCCGCATTCAGCACTCCCTCAATGCCATCTGCACAGGGCCAGCAGCCCAGCTCTGCCTGGGTGAACTTGCTGTGGTCCAGAAATCCATGCACCTCATTGGCTGTGGCTCAGAAAAGATGAACATACAGATCCTGGAGGATACCCACAAGGTGCAGCCTCAGCCCCCTGCCAGCTGCAGCTGCTACTTCAACCAGGCCTTCCACCTGCCCTGCCGCCACATCCTGGCTATGCTCAGTGCCCGTCGCCAGGTGCTCCAGCCAGACATGCTGCCAGCTCAGTGGACAGCAAGCTGTGCCACCAGTCTAGACAGCATCCTGAGCAGCACGTGGAGTGAGACCCTGGATAAACACCTGGCAGTGACTCTTCTAACCGAGGAGGTGGGTCAGCTCTTACAGCACTGCAGCAAGGAGGAGTTTGAGCGGCGGTATAGCACCCTGCGGGAGCTAGCTGACAGCTGGATCGGCCCCTACGAGCAGGTGCAGCTTTGATCACTCCTGATACCCCATGTGTACACTCACATACTTCCCCTACGTACACTCATGCTGTCGTCCGTCCACGGTCACTCCTTCCACAATAAGGACAAGAGTCTTCTACTCTGCCATAGTCTGCTACCTAGAAGGTGTCTTTAAGAATGGCTCCTTAAGACCATTGGCTCCTGTAAAGGGCCCAAGAGTAAATATTTTAGACTTAGATGCTCATGTACAGTGGCTGTTGTATATTCTTGGTTTTGTTTTGACAGCCTTTTCATAAAGTGGAAACAATTCTTAGCTCAAAGATCTTACAAAAACAGGCAACCCCTGGTCCAAGACAAGACATGGGTGCTGAGTTTGAGGACCAGGGCTTGGTAACAGCTGCCCCAGTCATGAAATCACTCACCTGACCCACACCCCATGATTGAGCTGGCCCAGGAGCTTCCCACAGAGGAAGCTGCTCAGGGAAGTGACTGAGCCAGGTTCCCAATATTTTTTCTCCTGGCTCCATCTTTGGATCAATAAATAAAGTTAAATGTTGCAAATTCCAATATTTTTCTAGTTTTTTGTTTTATACCTGGCAGTTTGGGATATGTTGTGGAAGAAATAGAATTTAGAGTTGGAAGATGATAGATACTACACGTGAATCCAGATGTTTTTTTCTTGGCAATACTGTGGATTGAACCCAAGGTTGCTCTACCACTAAGCTACATTCTCAGCCCTTCTAAATTTGTTTTTTGTTTGTTTTTTGAGACACGGTCTCACTAAGTTGCCTCAGCCTCCGAGTAGCTGGGATTACAGGCATATACCACAGCTTCGGCTCATCCCTGACTTATTTTTAAGGCATAGTTCATCTTTTACTACCTGTGAGACTCAGGATAGGTCAACTCTTTAAACTCAATTTGTGAAAATGGGCATCTTCACAGGGTTGGTCAGATTAAAAAAGAGTGAACTTCTACTCATTCAGATGCTTCATGGTGCTCAACCAGGTGTTCAGTTTCCTCCCTTTCTGCCTTCAGGAGGCTGGAAATTTTAAGGCAGGAGGAAATTTCACCTTGCTAGGACTTCACAAGAAACTTTGATCAAGCTGGGTGTGGTGTTACACACCTATAATCCCAGCTACTCAGGAAGCTGAGACAGGAGGTTAGCAAGTTCAGTGCCAGCCTGGGCAATATAGGGAGATATTCCCTACTACTGAGAAGAAAAAAAAAGAAATTTTGATCAAGTATTCAATATAGGAACCTCCACTGTCAAAACAGGATCACCTATATAGGTAATTTCAGTTTTATCTATCTGATAAGACCTACCTCTTGTTAGTGGCAGCAAGAGAAACTTCTTGGGGTCTGGACCCTAATGAAGAACTAGAATTTGTCAGTGGCCCAGCCTACCCCTGCCATACACCCCCCCCCAACCCTGTCTACCCAAAAACCATACAGAGAAGCCACCCTATGTGTCTGGTGCTATTTCATCCAGCTACAAGCAGGAGCCAGGAGGCTGGCCCCTCCTGGATCTCATTAGGGATATCTGCCCAGAAGCTGAGTGGGCATGCACTTGCTCCCACCGCGTTCCCTCCACAGCTCCCTCAGGCTCTGGATGGGCCATCATGAAAGCTTGAGCTGCCCGGATCAGGTCCTCTTCCCGCAGGCCTGGGACAGGCACGGTGGGGATGCCGGCGATCATCATAGCCAGGGTAAGGATGCAGATGTCAGGCTGGGAGCCGGCCTCCTTCTCCACTGCCTCAGAGGGCACTGGCAGAACCCCTGGTGACAGCCCACACAGCAGCAGGGGCCCAGGCCTGCTGGGGCCACTCAGGTGGGGAGCTCTGCTTCTGGAGCAGCCATTCTCCCAGCCCAAGCTCTCTGGTTGCCTCACGTTGGGGAATTTGTGGCAGTATCGGCTGTACTCCTTCCTCCGTGGTATCTCCCAGCTAGCACCCCCAGAGCAGACCCTGGCTTCAGGCACTGCCAGGGTGGGGCCCCAGGTCTGGGCAGCAGGTACCACCTGCTCCGCTTTCTGGTTCAGTGGGCCTAATCCACCAGAGGCCACCACCACTGGCTCTGTAGGACTATAGAGGCCAAGGGACGAACCCGGAGAAGCAGCCCCACCTGCAGAGACAGGAATGAGATGGAATGTTATTCTTGGTCTCTGAAGAAGAGGCCCTGAGGGGCAGGGCTTAGGAGCAGGAACAATTAAAACCAGCTCAAGAGGACTGTTTAGAGATTAGGCCTTAAGTGTTACATCCATATCCCCACTTCCCAACACTGAGCAAATGATGGAGCAGTGTTTGCTGAATGACTAAGTGAGCAAGTGGTAGTTAGTAATTGGCAAGGACTTTTGGAATGGCTTTTCTTCCAAGAGTTGACTCCAAGGTCAGCCCCCAAATGCCCGGCAGAACCTCCCCCTCCCTGGAACCAGGAGGCAACTCCCATGTGAAGCTGCTTTCCCTCCTCCAGTTCCATTAGACCCCTCTCACCTTGGTTAGAAGGTAGAAGACCTGGATGAGTCTGGGGAGACATGAAGTAGGACATGGCTGCCCCAAAGGCCCTGTTTGTGAGGGAATAGTCATATGCCTCCTGTCCTACCCTATCCTTCTAGAATGTCACCTCATAGTCCCTCCCCTTTACACCTGGAACCCATCTCACAGCATTGACCTGTTCATTCTAGAACCCATGTATAACAATGGGATGGGATTAAAAGAGCCCTGTACCAATTCCGGGGTGTTCTAGGTTCTTGCCTTCACCTTGGGCAAGTCACCTGGACAGTTTTGTTCCTTAATGTCCTCATCTGTAAAATGGGAGTAATGACTACCCCCCACCAGATGTTATGAGGATGAGGTGGGACTATCTGTATGGAGCCAAATAATAAGAGACACAAGTAGAGTCTAGGGTTTTGTGTCCTGTAGTGTCAGACAAGGATGCTCTTCAATCATTTTCTATTTGACCTTGAACAAATGCATTCTCATCTCGGGGTCTCAGTTATCCTTCTACAAAATGAAATAGTTGGTGTAGGGCACTGGATCTCAGGCCAGGCTGCACATTAGAATCTCTTGGGACACTTTGAGAAACTGTGATGCCCAACTCATCCCAAACCAATTAAGTCATAATCCCAGAGCCAGACCAATATTGGTATCTTTAAGTTCCTCAAGCAATTATAATACGCACCAAACCTGAAACTCCTGTTCTAAGGAAGTTGTTTCTCCACCTGGCTGTCCCTTCTATCTCCTGGAGGGCTTTTTCAATATACAGTGGCCAGGCCTGCACACATCAAAGGAAAGTTTCCAGGGAGTGTGGGGCATCAGTACTCCCTAAGTATCCCAATTAAACAAGCCCTTGTCTAGATGGCATCGAAAATGTTCTCTCTTGCTCTGACCTGCTGATTTGTAGTGATTCTAAAAGTGCCTCTACACACTGCAGGGGCAAGGAGACCCTCCAATGATCAGAATGTCAGCATCAGCTGTTTATTTCTAGTCCTGGTTGGCAGCAGTGTTACCAGCTTCAGACAGGGTCTGAAGGCCAGGAGTGCTCCTGAGGGCCCTCTGGGTGGCTGCAGACCTTCACTCATACTTGCAGAAATCCTTAAGCCCTTTGGGCAGATGGAGTCCATCAATGGCCAGCCGGTGCACCACGTTCCTCTGGATCACTAGGCGGCACAGAGTCTGCAGCGATGGCACTGTGGAAAGAAGGTGGTCAAAGGCACAGGAAACTGAAGGGTGGGTCTGAGGCCAGGCCCCAAAAAACCTAGGTTTTCGTTGGTTCTCATTCTGCCATCAGCTTGGGTAACTCCCTTCTGCTGTCAGGCTCAGCTTGCTTCACAGAGCTGATCATATAGCTGAAATAAACACTACTTCCTGCCTGGCATGGTGGCCAACGCCTATAATCCCAGTGATTTGGGAGGCTGAGACAGGAGGATTGCAAGTTTGAAGCCAGCCTCAGCAATTTAGCAAGCCTTAAGCAATTTAGCAAGGTCCTGTCTCAAAATGAAAAATAAAATGGTCTGGGGATGTGTCTCAGTGCTTAAGCACTCCTGGGTTCAATCCCCAGTATCAAAAAATTATAATAAAAAAACCACTTCCTGAAGACCTTCAATGATGTAACCCTGCTTTTATAACAACACAGCACAAAGCTCTTCCCCTTTCAGTTAGCAGCTTCTGTGGGCAGGGTAGTGTCTGATTTGCTCATACAACCACAGTTCCCAGAGCAGGTTCTAGTTCCCTGAATCCATGAGATGGGATCTGAGGTATAAATAAAATGTTTGATAGGGTTGTAAGGAAGTGGAACTGGATCTCAGAATTTAAAAGCTCTCGATTTGAGGTCTATGATGCCTCTATGCTTCTAAACGGATAGACCTAAATCTATCAGCATTTTTTCTAGGTTAATATCGAAAACACTGGGGCTGGGGTTGTGGCTCAGCAGTAGAGCACTTGCCTAGCATTTGCAAAGCCCTGGGTTCGATCCTCAGCACCACATATAAATAAATAAATAATGAGGGTATTGCGTCCAACTACAACTAAAAAATAAATATTAAAAAAAATTGAAAACATTGTAAGAACTAAGAGGGATAGGCAAGGGCAAGGAGACCCTCCAATGAGCGGGAGTGACTGGTGCAAAACTACAAACAGAGAGGTGAAATTCCAAGCTGGATTCTTCCTGTTTTTGATGCTCTTGCTGCTGTTTCGTCTTTCTGGGAATTAAAGGGACTCTTCACCACTGAACTACATCTCCAGCCCTTTTTTAAAAAATTATTTATTTAGAGATAGTCTGGACTTGAACTTGTGGTACTAGTGCCTCAGCCTCCAGAAGCGAGATTACAGATTTCAGTCCTCCAGGTTTCCCTCTTCTAAACTAACGCTGGAGAGACCAAGGTCTAGGAAACCGTGGCCCGCGGGTTCTAGCAGGTGTCTGTGTCCACACTGGGCCAGGAGGGGTCGCTGCCCAGGAGTGGGATACCTACAGCCATACTCGAGTTGAACCAGACGCACGCTCTTGGTGGAGGCAAACACGTCCACCACTGCATAGAGGGGCTGGGCAGCGGGCAGCCCCCGGGCGCTGGGGCCCATGTCCTCCCCGTTGATGACGATGTGCATGTCTGCGGTGCCATCCGGGTGCGGGCAGAAGAGAACGCCCAGGCGGCTGCGGCGCGCGGTCGGAGGCAACACGTTCAGCTCGTAGAGCTGGTCCAAGAGGTGGCTGTAGAGCCCCGGCCGGCTGCGGCCCACGAGGCGGTCCCGGGGGATTCGGAACTGCTCAATGCACAGATACGGTTCCACCAGCAGGCCCGGGGGGCGGCGCGGGGCCGCGGCCTCTGCCTCTGCCTCGGGTTGGCCGTTCCGGGGCACGCGGTTGTGGTGGCGCGTGATGGCGAAGACCCAGGTGTGGCCAAGGTTGACCAGGTCCGGCAGCGAAAATTCGGGCACGGCGGCCAGACTGGCGGGGTCCAGCGCGGTCAGGCCGAGGCGCAGATGGCCGCACCAGCCCAGCTCTTTCTCCTCGATCTCGACTAGGAATACCTGGCCGGGGACCAGCGGCTCGCGACTGAAGCACACACCATGGGCGAAGCTCTCCACGCGCGTGGCCCGCGTCCCCGAGGGGTCCACGCGGATGTTGGCTCCGTGCACCCGGTGGAAGCGGGTGGGAGGGGGCTCTGGGCGCGCGGGTCCCCAGGAGGCACCCAACTCCACAGGATTGGAGGCAGCAGCCATCTCGGGGCCATGTGGCAAGACAGACGGCGCCCGGAGCTATTTTGGGCCACTGACTTAGATGGTGACAGTCGGGGAACCATGTAAGGCATTTCCCCCGACTCCCTCCCCGAGGCTCTACTCGGGGGCCCTAGCGCCGCTCGCTCGGGCATCCCCCTAGAGCCGGGGTCCCCAGGGGCGGGGAAACCTGCCGTCCACACCCAGATCATCGGGTCGCTGGCTCCCGGACTACGACCTTCGAGGCCCGCGGACTTTGACCCGAAAATTGACCGCTCCCTCTCCTGAGGCCTTCGGAGAGCCAAAGGGGGGCCTGGGGAGGGCTGACACGTGACGCCAGCCCTCACGTGACTCAGGGTACACATGACTTCCAGTCCCCGGCGCCTCCCGGAGAGCAAGGACGCGAGGAAGCAGAGGTGAGGGGACCTCGGCCGGAGCGGAGCCCCCGCCCAGGGTCGGTGGCGGCGGCGGGGCCTCGGCGGGCGGGATCCGGGCCGGGGTCCCCTCGCGGCGCGCCCAGCTCCTCCTGGGGGGCTGCGGCTCCCGAGCGCCTGGCCGCGAGCGAGCGGGTAAACTGCAGGCGCCGCCACTTCCTCCCGCAGATGGTCCGAGCCGCGCTGCCGCCGCTGCTCCTGCTGTGGCTCCTGTCCTGGGCGTCCCGGGTCCAGGCAGCCCCCGACCAGGACCAGATTCAGTGCCTCCCCGGACTGGCCAAGCAGCCGTCCTTCCGCCAGTTCTCGGGCTACCTCAGAGCCTCCGGCTCCAAGCACTTGCACTACTGGTCGGCGGCCCTGCCTCCCAGGGCGGGCGGGAGGCGGCTGGCAAAGCCCACCCGGCGGGATGGGGGCTGCAGGCAGTTCCCGAGACGACGGAGGGCTCCCGGGAGCGAGCGGGGAGGGCAGGAGGGGCCCTCCGCCCGCACCAACTCTCTCTGACCCCTCCCAGGTTTGTGGAGTCCCAGAAAGATCCAGAGAGCAGCCCGGTGGTGCTTTGGCTCAACGGGGGTCCGGGCTGCAGCTCCCTAGATGGGTTCCTGACAGAGCACGGCCCTTTCCTGGTGAGTCCTCCTGTGACCCAGGAAAGAGGGGAAAGGGACAGTTACCCAAGGGAAAAAGGTGGGGAGAAAAGGGCTTCGTGGTCTTCCAAGTGTCTCCTTCTTCCTGAACCTTGCTGTTTTCCCCACTGTGCTGGGGCTTACTTAACTGTCCTTACCTGCTGGGGGTTGTCCCTGTGTGAGGACCTCTGGCACTGGGGCCCTTCCCCTCCACCCAGTTGGTCCTTGGTGCTCATTCCCTCTCTTTCCTCCGCAGATCCAGCCAGATGGTGTCACTCTGGAGTACAACCCCTATTCATGGAACCTGGTATAGCTGAGCTGTGCGTCCTGCGGGTGTCTGGGCAGTCCAATGTGGTGGGGCCCCCTCTTCACTTCATTTCCTCCTCCCCTCTAGATTGCCAATGTGTTGTACATTGAGTCCCCAGCTGGGGTGGGCTTCTCCTACTCTGATGACAAGGTTTATGCCACCAATGACACCGAGGTGAGTCTGGTGCCTGCCCACCCACTCCAGCTTCCCTGGCCTTCCACTGGGGCGTGAAGAGGGGAGCGGGAACATGGCCTCTGGATCCGTTTCTGGCTGTCATGTGCTATGGATGTGATCCTAACCAAGTCACTTCCTCTCATACCCAGCGTTGGTTTCATTACCTCTTGAGGATTTTTCTAGCTCAGATGTCAGTGCGTCCTGATTCTCTCCATCCTGCCACCCCCAGGTTGCCCAGGGCAATTATGAAGCCCTTAAAGATTTCTTCCGCCTCTTTCCGGAGTATAAGGACAACAAACTTTTCCTGACGGGCGAGAGCTATGCCGGCATCTACATCCCCACCTTGGCTGTGCTGGTCATGCAGGACCCCAGCATGAACCTTCAGGTGCAGGGCAGCTGCAGGAGGGCAGGGAGGCCCCTGGGGACCATACCCTTGTAGTTCCAGGTCAGACTGCCCAGCACCCTGCCCGGCCTGGTCTCCCTCCCAGCCACCAGCGACCCTATCTCTGCCTGCCTGCCTCCT